AGATTTCTTTTCTTTTTCTTTTTTAAGCTTTTATCTATTTATTTGAGAGAGGCAGAGAGAGAATATGAGTGGCAGGGGAGGGGCAGTGGGAGAGGGACACACAGACTCCCCACTGAGCAGGGAACCCAATGTGGGACTCGATCGCAGGAGCCCAAGATCATGACCCGAGCTGAAGGCAGAAGCTCAACCAACTGAGCCACCCAGGCGCCCTGGTTGTGTCAGATTTCTTTGCATCCTGTTCCTTAGTGATCTTTCACCCAATGGTTTTAGTATCCACAGATCATTCTTGATCAAATCAATTTATAACTATGGTGGGTTTTTTTTTAAAGATTTTATTTTTATTTATTTATTTGAGAGAGAGACAGTGAGAGAGAACATGAGCGAGGAGAAGGTCAGAGGGAGAAGCAGACTCCCCATGGAGCTGGGAGCCTGATGCGGCACTCGATCCCAGGACTCCGGGATCATGACCTGAGCCGAAGGCAGTCGTCCAACCAACTGAGCCACCCAGGCGTCCCACTATGGTGGTTTTTAAATGGTGATTTTTCTTTCTGTCTACATTTACTAGTTGGGATTCTTCTGTAAAGAAAATCTCTCCCTTCTCTCCCCACCCCATCTACATTTATTTAGACTCAGTGTGGAGTCATGAATTTTTTATTGTTAAATGTGTTTTAACCCATTCCTGTCATTACTGATTTTAATACTCAAAATGAGAGTTTATTCAAGCTGGCCCCCTTTGTCGTTGTGACATAGTCACATTAGTGTTGGAACACTTTTGCTGTGTTTCTTTTTGGAAAAAGAAAAAAAAAAACACCTTTTCTCTAATGCAGAAGAGTAGCGTATGATAGTGTTTTGTACCTTATGTTTTTTCTTAACAAGATATCTTAGAAATCACTCCACTTCAGTTTCTAACTCTGTTAATTATTACTTACCTGTGTGTGTGTATATAGATGTGTGTCTGTAACTAGTGGCCCCAGCCATCTATGTAGGAGAACAGAAATGTTGTCCCAGGTTCACCTTGTACTTTCTTAGTTCCAGTCCTGGCTGGGATCCATAATTTTCAAGGAGTGCTGGTGGTTGTCTTTGGGGATCGGTACAGCAGTCTCGCCTTCTCATGGTTGTGCTTTCCACAGCTTCATTTACCCTAAT